CTGGCTAAACAGGCGAGGTGTTCTGAACACTCCATTCCAAAGGAGCGGACTCGTCCGTCCGTTTCAATTGGCATGTTTTCTAAGCCAAAACAAGGCTTTGCTTTTGGTCCACTCTATAAAGCCTCAACCTCAACGCTATTTCTGACATTTTGAATTAAGAAAGCTTCCTGGATGGGAGGCGAAATGTCTTCAAACCCAGAAATAAAGTCCAGTGTATTGTTTCTTAACTTCAGGGGTGTAAAGTAATGAATTACATTTACTCAGGTTACTGTTATTGAGTACTTTTTATGAGTAATTTGTAATTTTCTGAGTAGTTTTTGAAATATGTAATTTTTACTTTTACTTGAGTAAATTTTAACCTAAGTGGTTTTACTTTGCTACATTTAAACCCCCTCAGGTTACTGAGTAAAAAAAAAAATATATTGATGGTGAAAAAATAAAATGCGGCCGGAAATTTAAACCCCTGTGTCACGGAACCGACACTTAATCGCCATTAAAAAATAGAAGACTTTTGACTTTTAACAGCACTTTATTCACACAATTAAAACATATAAACAATTGATGTAAAAACAAGTGTCAGTTAAAATCATTAAATGAGGAGCTTGTTAATAACAGTGTGATCCTGTTGCGTTTTAGTTTGATTTCTAGTATCTTTTGGGCATTTAATTTTGTGTGCATTTTGAAAACTTCAAAATGTAGTTTAAATATCTTTGTTCCTATCATGGTGTTGTCTGTTGGACAGTAGGATTGAAAATAGTTTGCACTTTATGGTACAGGCTGTGACTGTCCTATTGCTATGAGGAAGTATGTTCCTTAGCCCAGCTGATCTTTTGCAAGTGTGGATGTTCACTGAAATACGCCTTGAAATCGATTAAAACACCTTGTGCTCATTTCTATTCATGACTCATCATTTTTTTGCATTAAATAACTCAAAGTAACTAAGCAACTTTTACTCAAATTACATTTTATAAATGAAGTAATTTTGTACTTTTACTTGATTAAATTTTGAGATGGGTAATTTTACTTTTACTCTGAGTAAAATGTAGGCAAAGTAAAGATACTTTTACTCAATTACAATTTTTTAGTACTCTTTCCACCTCTGCTTAACTTCATATTTTGATACAGTAGCTCTATAGGTCTTTAAAATGTAAAGTAAATCCATCATTATCATTTTTTCTTTTTGAGCAAAGTTATACTAAAATCCCTAGAAGTGATGTGATGGAAGTCTGAAAACTGGAGTACAATAACAACAAACTGTGTGAGAAAATGCATTTTTCCTATGGAACAAAATCATTAATAGCTGAGATTTAAGATTGAAATCCACAATTTTGGAAGATTTCAGTTTTGAAGTATGTGATCAGTTTAATCACAAGGCATTAGAGGGAAAATACACTTGAATACTTTGCTTTTGTGTATTAGCAATAAGGAACTCCTTAGAAAATGATGGAGCCATTACCCTCCATTGCTGGGAGCATCTTCAAGCTGAGATTGTTAAGTTGGAAAGAAAAAAATATTCAGAAAACCCAAGATTGTCCAGAAAACTCTGTGTCTACCTTCCCTCTTAGGGCTTATCTAACAGATTCTGTTGTCTCTAGCAAAGATCTTGCTTAATTATGTAGAAGATAACAGTCTGAGGATGTTATCACTTCTATATGGTGTTTACTTCCTTAAAAACAAACTGGTGTTTCCACTTTGTTGCGGTTCAGTTGCGTGGACATTAGCACGCCCATCACCTTAGGAGACGGCACAAAAATCCACATCTGTTCAGAGGAGGTAATCTCTGTATGATTCCAAGCAAACTTAAGAGTCGTTCTTTCATGAAACATGATGTATTTGACTGAATGTAATTTGATCTTTTGGTTCAGGTGCATTGAACGAAGGACGTATCCAAAGACTGCAAGAAAACAACTGTGTAATTCTGTGTTTAAGACAAGAAGAACAGCAAACAAGTCTTTCCTGTCTGTTTTTGACCTAAAGGTGGATCAAACTTTGATTATGCAGCAAGACAATAATCCTAAAAAACACCAGAGAGTCTGTCTTTGACTGGCATAGAAAGACAAAATTATACTTTTGGAGTGGCCTAAACAAAGACTGGAATTAAATCTATATAAGGTAATAAGCATGAGCTTAAACATGGTATTTATGCATAAAAAGTGCCAAATGGCTCAGGTAAAACCCTTTGGCTAAGAGCAGTGAGCCAGTATTCCTAGAGGGTCAAAAAATAAGTTAATATGTTAAAGAGACATTTTGTACTTTTTTACTTAAAAATATCTTTGAAATGGCTTTTTTGATGTTTTACTAAACATAATTCATTGCTAGTGAATTTCTGGTTATTATATATAAACTACTTGCTTGCAGTTGGGTTAGGGGACAGTTGACCACAAATGAGTAAAAACATTGACATCAAAGAAAGGTTTGAAAAAAGAGAACTCACT